CAACACCCACGTTACTGAAATTGGGCAGCAAACGTGGAGCCGAGGCACCGTCCATGAGGCAACTGGGTTTTTCAGGTTTTTAACCTATTTTTCGAGCTTAATTAGTCTCCAACTCTTTTCAAAGCTCTAAAACACTATAAATACGGTATCAAAAACTTAATTTTTGGAATACAATTCAACCCTACAGTTCAAAGAATTGAAGAGAGAAAAAGATAGAATTCAAAAGAGGCAAGATACACAATTCCAATTAGGCAAAACATTAAAAGATTGAAGAAATCAAGTAAGGAATCATGAAGAACATCGAGTGAAATCCAATTAAAGCTCCAAAAGAGTTTATCTTTTCCTTCTTCCCCATGTTTTATCGTATAGCCCATGTTTGAGCCACATTCTAGGGAAAAAATGTATTATTCATGTCAAATCAATGGAAAATGTGTAGTTAAAAAATAAGTAAAAGTTTTAGATTTCATATAATATTATTTTATTGAAGAAGATTTCATATAATATTATTTTATTGAAAAATGTATGGTTGAAATGATGTCAAATCAGGGTTGAAAAATGTATTTTTTTTAAAATAATGTCGCTTATGATTTCTTTCATGAACTAAACAATTTATCTAGGGTTTGATGTAGGCAAACTTGAGATTATGATTTGATTTTGTCATAATTATTTCTATTTATTTTTCACATATGTTCAATAGTGTCATGAAATTAATGCTTTCAATTAATTAACCACTAATTGAATGAATGGATGCAAGTCAATTCCAACACTTGATAGGGGAGAATTTAGGCGTGATCATGAGATTGACACAACATAAATTTTATGGGTTTCGAGAGAAAATATAAAATTTATGAAGCTTACTCCATAAAGAATCATGAACTTGATAAATTCTTGATTTTAATTTGGAATAGAGATATTAAAATTGAAATCTATGATCAATTTCTAACTGACACTCGAAAGAGGGGAGATAAATATATTAGGATTCTTACTTTTAAACATGGAAAAATTGACTAGAAAAACTCAATATAATTGAATTATAATTGCTAGTTAGCTGAAATCATTTCCTAAGCCTTTCCTACATTAATATATTCGTATAAATTGCATTACTTAAATTCATCAACAAAATATCTTATAGACTAGATAATACTATTGAATTTAAAACATTCATTCATCTAGATAGAGCGAAAGCTACATAATTATAGTACTTAGGAGAAATTGAATTACAATCCTTGTGGGTTCAACATTCTAATCTATTACTATATCATAAAACTTGACACCGTACACTTGTAGTATAAAATCACGTTGTAGAAAACACGTGGCTCATGATTTTATATAGAATTATGCTGGTTGTATAGAAGGTAGCCTCCAGAAGTAGTGCCAAAAGATGATTTATAATGAATGATTGGATGAAAAAAAAGCTACTGTGTTTTAAATTGATAAATGACAGATTTCTATATGACATTGTGTAAACTTCTATGTTAACTTTGAAGTACATGTAGTAAGATCCTTTTATATGTTACAAGGACAATGAGGAAAAATCATCACCTGGATAATGTTCCTTCAAAATAAATAAAAATCAATCATAATGTAGAACAATTTATAATAAGTTTACACATAACCTATAGGAAGTTATTGAGATGATGATACCCTAAATAATTAAAAGTAATGAAATTTACTGATCTTATATTCTTAAAAACAAAATAAATAAATTGAAAGAAAATTGGTTTGACTCCCAATAAGCAATTGTTTATAGTCTAATGCTTGACTTTAATACTTTGGCCATTCATGTGACTTGAAAAGAGAGTTTTTAGCCTTACATTGACTGCAGTTGTAGATATTCTTCAATTCATCTCTAGTCTCTAAATTATAGGTCTTTCATTGTTTTCCTTATGGTCAATGATTTTTCATTCCTCAATGTATGGTCAGGTGGACTATTCATAGTAAAGCTTTGTTATTTTCTTCCGCTCTTAAGATTATCTCATGCAAAGCTTTGTTATTTCTTCCACTCTTAAGATTATCTCATCATTTTCAAAATCATTTAATGCTCCATTTGTTAAGATTGTTTTCCCAAAATTATTAGCATGTGTTGATCTTCAATATCAAGGATCATGAAATCAACTAAAAAAAAAAATGGAACCTCCAACTTTGATGTAATAACCCAATAATAACTAAACAAGGGGTTTAATTGGTTTTCAAATTTTTTTCAAAATATTAATTTAAATTCAAGAAAGTAAAGACTAAGTAGATTAATTTAAATAATAAGTGTAAATACGAAAGCGATAAGTAAACAGGAAGAAAGGATGCAAGCGATATTGTGATGCCCCGAACTCTCAGAACCTGAAACTTTAAAAATAATCGTTCTTTCTTTGGTTCGACCCATTTGATGTTAACCAAAATAATTTGTAAATTAGAAAGTTTTTGGATTTTGAAACATATGGAAAATAATGAGAGACATTTGTCCACGTAAACTTAGACAATTATGGTAAAATTTGATTTCTGGAAAACATTTGGGAAAAATACAGCAAACACAATTTACGTAGCAGTGGAAAGAAAAAATATGTTTGGTCTAGTAAACGATGACTAAAAATTATGAAATTTTAACAGCGAATAAACCATTCATATATGTACCACATATAAAAATTTGGGGTCTCAAAGATAACATTTGAAGCAAGAAAAAATTGCTCGAATATGCTGAACAAAAAAATGGATTCGACACAACGCAATTTTACTAAAATGGGCATAACTTTTTTGTAGATAATATTTTTGAGAAATTCCAAAGGCCACTATTAGA